GCTTTTTCCAAAAATGGGGAAGTAAAAAAGGGAAATATCACTGTTTGTGTTTAAATAAATACATTAGTTAATATCAGTTACTTTTGTACAGTAAGTTGGTGACACCTGAGTGTGTATGTTCAGAATAAAAGGCTTTTTGGCTTTTGTTTTCAGGATAATGGGCTGTCACACAAACAGATATCCAAAGGGTCATTTTTAAGACTACTGGGGATTCAGAATAATGACATGGTGTTTTAATTGACCAGGTTTTAGCTGAATTCATGCAGCAATGTATGCCGCAGTATCATTGCTTCCATTCATTGTATGTTTAGGATTTTCCAGGCACTTACATGCAAAATATACATGAACAAATATTTGATGTGCACTCAGCTCAACAGCTCCCAGGCGATGAGCTGTCTTTATCTCCCGCGGGGCGACATGCAATAACATTAGCAAGAAAAGGTGAGCTGGAGGCTGGCTGATGTTTGGGCAGAGGTAAGGGAAGGTATCCAGGGGTGAAGGCTTACAGCGGGGGGGAAAAAAACAGGAAATGAGAGCTGGTGCCTGGCTTGGCAAACTGGGGTGGAGAGCTGGCAGATAGGTGATCCTGGAGACAGAGAGAACCAGTGTAAGTAACTCTGGCAGGGAGACAGGCAAGCAAGCAAACTAATAAGCTGGTAGATAACTTTTAACTGAGCTGAAGCGAGGAACATGAACATACTGTGTATGACACAATGATCTAGCGGGGAGTAGATGTCAGCGTAGTGGTCAGGTGAAGACATGATAGCAGACAGGAGTGCTTGATTGGAGATGACGGGCAGCTGAGCAGAGAGAGGACAAAGTCAGAAACCCATCTGACTTGCACTAAAAGGTTAAAAAATAACCAAAAACAGTCACTCATTACAGGCAGGAGTTTTGGAGAAGGGGTGGTGACAGAATTATGTAAAAACGTCTTTGTTTGCATGATATAAGCAACATATCCTAATTTGATCTAGTATGGTATTTCAAAATATATGTCAGTATGTTATGTTTTCATGTGGGATCACAAGAGCTGTGTGCCTCTGTCGCCTCTTCAGTGGAGAGCCAGATCTGACTACTGTAAGTGGGTCACAGCTCCGCCCTGCTGCTGCGCGGCAAAGTTCAATGAGCCTGGCTAAAAACCCTCCTTAGGCTGATTCAGGGAGAAATAATGGGGCCAGCAACTCCCAATCCCCTCAAGAGCTGCAGCACAGCAGCGGCAGCAAGCTGGCAGGAAGGCCCAGTGGAGCACAGGGTGGATTTGCCAAAGGAGCAGTTATTCACTCTTTAAGACCCTAATCTACAGCGCATACCACACACACTATTACTGTACAGTACGGCGGGGTGCATGGAGTCCATACCGTACGTTTAAAGTTCAATTTCACGTAATTATTTCCAGTTTGGCCAGTCTCTGCAGATCAAGGCACTAACAAATCAGGCCTGGATCACGAGTTTAATTCCCAGTGGAGCTACTCTTCCAGTTTGTGCAGACGACATTTATTTAACCAATTCACCTTGAATGTCAGTTGTTATCCCATCAGTATTAACAGAACTGGTCTGTTATGATTTCACAGAATACAATTTTGCAGAAACATTTATTTGCTTTATAGTGGAAACAATTATTAAATGCTATCAAATAATGTAATAAAATGATGTATGTCATGTGCAAATGTTTGGAGTGCTTACAGTACATTTTCATGTGCTCGTGCGTAATCAGATTAACAAATCCACTCAAGGCTGCTTATTTAGTTAACATGTTTCATACTGTCTTTACATGACCCCCTTTGGAAAGTATGCATGCCACTTGATTCCACTCAAACTGGAAATGTCCTGATCTTCAAAGAGACAAGAAATGTCACAAGTTCCGACAGTATCGAGACCCCAATGATGATGTAGATTTCATGGCTCTGTGTATCTCAGCCACGATCAATTCTTGCTTGCCTTGCCTGCGTGCTTGTGTGTGTGTGTGTGTGTGTGTGTGTGTGTGCAAGCATGTGATTGTGAATGTGATTCTAAATTTGGGAATAATTGAGGCCATCCAGGAATAGACCAGATACACACACACACATACACACAGTCACTTCAAAGGAGCATCCTGTAAACTGTATTTTAGGAGCCCTTAACTGTTGTTGCACAGCTTGAGAAATTCACGTCCCTGACACACTTTATTTAGCAAGCTGTCCTTTAAGTTCGAGGAAGACAACAAAAGCATGGAGCAACAAAGACTTCTGCTTTCGTGTCCTTCTCCTGTGGTTTGCCTTCAGAGCAGAAATGTGCCCATACAGATTTTGTTAAAGAAAAAGAGAAGACGTTGTTTTGTTTTTTCCTCATACAGACAGTCAATGCAAGGGGGGGGGGGGGGGGGGGGGCGACGTCTCCCTCTGGTGGCTTTGGTGGGTGGGCTCTTATGTTTTGAAGGCTGGTTGACTGGGCCTGGCAGGCAGAGCAGGAGCCCCCAGCTGACGGTGTCATTACTGCTAATTAAATACACGCCAGCTAGGAGTGTGTTGCCCTCAGCGGGACCGCTTGTGTGTTTTATTTTGTACCAGAGAGACGGAGATTCTGTGATGTGGTGCCCATAAAGAATATTAAAGCTGCATATATAATCACATTGAATGAGTGTGAGATATTTTTTATAATTACAGTGTTCAGTGTTTCGAGGGGAAACACTGGGTGAGACCCGGGGTGACTAATTACGCTGATAAATGCAGAATGAGAGTGGTAGTACCCTGAATGCTGCTCACTTTCTGCTTCAAACAAGACTGTCTCAATGTCAGCAAATTCCTGGCCTCACATTTTCCCTGTCTTCGTTTCCCCCTGCTGTGTCTATCCTGTCGCTACAGATCCTGCAACCTGCCCTGCAGTAACCCCTGCATTCTGGCCATTTCCCCATCACCTGACTTTCCCCACCTACCTATATACAGGATTGGACCGCTTCCATGCATTCCCCTGGCAGCTCCCGCCTTAAAGGTCCAACCATGTTCTCCTCCTGCCTGAGTTTTGCTTGTTTCACCTTTTGGACTCCTGATTTCTAACCTGATCCCCTTTTGGATAAGTTTTCTCCCCAAATTGCCTGGTTTCGACTTCGATTAAACTTGAACTTTTTATTTGCTGGTGTCAAAGTCGTGCTTTAGGTTTCAAACTTGCTTGTAGTGAGCGTTTACTACAGCCAGGCCAGGCTGAAGGCAGTTAGCCATCTTAGCAAAGATTGGAAACAGGGGGAAAGAAACAGCCTGGCTGTGTCCAAAGTCAAACAAATCTGCCAACCAGCACCTCTAAATGTCACTAATTAACGTTGACACTAAAAGTAACAATGATAATTAGTTTAATTCTTGACAAACAACAGAACAAATTGTAATGTTTTACTAAATGCTGTTTTTGTACAGCTTGGCTAATCACCTCTAGCTCCAGCTGTATGTAAGAGACATGACCGTGGTATCAGTCTTATCTTACTCTCCATAAGATGGCAAATAAGGAAATATAAACTATTATTTTAAATACCACAAACTAAATTCCATTAATTGTTGACAGCTAAGGTCACAAAACCTTGGAAATATAAAAACATTCCTGCATGACTAAATACCAAAGTGGAAAAATATGTTTTTTGTGATTCACATGACCTGACCTTTAAAGGCTGTATGCTTGTTTTAACCAATAATAAGTAACCAATGATAAGAAATGTAGCCTCGTCAATGGAAAATATGCCACAAGGTTCCTGTGTCACAGCTTCCCATATGAGTGTGTGGGAGACACAAACAGGTGAAATGTGTTCTTCACTTCATGTTGCAAACCTTCTGACCTCCCGACTTTGACAACACAATGTTTTCTGACAAGACGCGTGGCTTGGCAGGAAGTCATTGGCTCAGTATGAGCTTCCTGCCTCGGCCTGTGTCTGAAATAAAAACACTTAAGAGAGAGACGGCCGTAGAGTTCAGCTAACTTGCTCTCCACAGGACGAAGGAAGGATATCCTCCTCTCTCGACACACAGACAGGAAACTATTAGACTTGGTGCCAAATGCGTGATATTCCAGTGGATGAGGGAGAAGAAGAGGGGCAGAATGGGAGTTGGAGTCTCGTGAGGTTTGGAGGAGGATTTAAAAACATTTTGCAAACTTTTAGGCTAAAAAGAGTTTGTTAAACTCATAGGTACCAAACTGATGTTATTAAATCAGTTTTAATTAGACTAAAGTTGAATTTACACAGCAATAAAATAAAGTCTGGTCAGCAAAAGTTACATAATCTTTCTTTCAAGCATATATTTTTATATGATAAAACAACAACAGTGTGTTATTGTACTGCTAGGAGAAGGTATTTCCATTGGGAAACATTATTAGGGACCGAGTCAGTATGAACTGGAAGGTCCCTATTGTTTTATTTCTATTATTTCTTTATCATTATGATAACTTAATGATATTATTGTACTGAGGAGATCTTTATATTACACCACAGCTATACTATAATTAATTTAAGTTGATATTACCTGTGGAAAAGAAATGAAGACAAAGTTGTATCTCTTTAAATAAATTCATTTATTTCTGTAGGTTGCTATCCATAATCAAT